CGTTACTAACTAGTTAAATGTATATTTCAATAGGAGTTAGTAACGTAAGAATGTATTCTCTGTTCCTCTAGTTAAATGTATATTTTAATAGAGAGAAACAGAGAATACATTCTTACCTTACTAACTAGTTAAATGTATATTTTAATAGAGAGAAACAGAGGACACATTCTTACCTTACTAACTAGTTAAATGTATATTTTAATAGAGAGGAACAGAGACCACATTCTTACCTTACTAACTAGTTAAATGTATATTTTAATAGAGAGAAACAGAGACCACATTCTTACCTTACTAACTAGTTAAATGTATATTTTCAATAGAGAGAACAGAGAATACATTCTTACCTTACTAACTAGTTAAATGTATATTTTAATAGAGAGAAACAGAGACCACATTCTTACCTTACTAACTAGTTAAATGTATATTTTAATAGAGAGAAACAGAGGACATATTCTTACCTACGAGCAACAGTGCGAGTGACCCATTTCTGCTGAATAATTTCCTAGCGTGCAATACAAAAGGATTGAAAGGATTTCTGTGGGATTTTACATGCACACCGAAAGCACACTGAGAAATACTGTCTATCGTAAAGGTGCCGAACAATCTGTAATACAAACACATGCTAATGTGAATGTTAGAATAAAACGTATACTACTACCTTCTGTCACCGTTATTGGTTCTTACTGGTTATTAATAGCTTCTGAAATTTAAAAGTAAACTGAAACCTAATAAATCAATCCAGTGAAATACAATATTTTGAAGTAAGGGTTAAGACTACAACGAAACTCAGTGAATAATTCAAAGATTCTTAAAGATTATTTTTATATATCGTTTTGTAGTTAATGAAGATTGTCTGATAACCTCTTCACCTGGCCCACAGCTTTCATTGGTTGAAACGTTTCTCCCACAGCTTTCATTGGTTAAAACGTTTCTCCCACAGCTTTCATTGGTTCCACATTTAATGGTACCAGCACATTGTTAGTTTACCTCGGGTCCTTCGGTTCCACATTTAATGGTACCAGCACATTGTTAGTTTACCTCGGGTCCTTCGGTTCCACATTTAATGGTACCAGCACATTGTTAGTTTACCTCGGGTCCTTCAGTTCCACATTCATGATGTTGGGAAAACACGTAGGTTCAAGAAGTCAATTTAATACGGATACGAAACCCAATAACCAACTACTAGTATCATTAAGATATGAAAACCTATATCCCGACGGCTTTCAAGAGTGGACTTCTTTCATTTCCTCAGTTCCCCCAGTTTGCCTCTAAAGAAAAAAGGTCCACATTTCGAAAGCCCTCGGGATATAGGTTTTCTTTTCTTAACGATAGTAGTGTTCTTTTTAATTAATCTTAGTACTTTAATGTCTTAACAGTTTGATAAATAAAACAGTTAAACTTTTAGTTCGCAAACACAGTACCCAGTACACTGAGGCGTACTTATTCTTTAACAAATTGTGTATATTAAACTTTTCATTTAATGTAGAAATGTGATTTAAAATTGTCTTTGTTTTTAAGAGCATACGAAGGAACCAAACCATCTCTGTTTGTCACCGATCCAAAAGTTACTAAGGATATTCTCATTAAAGATTTCAACTATTTCTCCGATAGACGAGTAAGAAATTTTAACCATTCCATGATAACAAATAAATATGTGTGTGTAATATACTAATTTGTATTGTAAATTAAGCTGTACTATTCCATGGATAATATATATATATATATATACTAATTTTTATTGTAAATTAAGCTGTAAAATTTCTTGTTTTTCTTCATATTTAACTAAAACGATGTGATATACAAATTCTAAAACGAAAATAAAATTTACAGATTAGAAAACTTTAATTTTGTACTTAGTAATTTTTTAAAATGTTATCAATGTTTTATCGACTTTGTTTGCTAATGTGCTGAACAATTGCCAAGAAAGTATTTCTTCATATTATCAAATTTTTTTGCTGTTTGTGTAAATAACAGGAATGTTTAGCTGTACACACTTCACATTATTGCTGTGTGAACAGCTACCGTAAACATCTAGCATGACTTGGCTTCACATCAGAGATCAGTTACCGTAAACATTTATCGTGACTTGACTTCACATCAGAGATCAGTTACCGTAAACATTTATCGTGACTTGGCTTCACATCAGAGATCAGTTACCGTAAACATTTATCGTGACTTGACTTCACATCAGAGATCAGTTACCGTAAACATTTATCGTGACTTGGCTTCACATCAGAGATCAGTTACCGTAAACATTTATCGTGACTTGGCTTCACATCAGAGATCAGTTACCGTAAACATTTATCGTGACTTGGCTTCACATCAGAGATCAGTTACCGTAAACATTTATCGTGACTTGGCTTCACATCAGAGATTAATTACAAATTATTTCTTTAACATCTTTAGTTGTTTCCCGCCACTGGGGATCCGATCTTCGACAACAACTTGATTATACTGGAGAGCAAGAGGTGGAAATTGGTACGACCAAGAATAACGCCTGCCTTCAACGTGACCAAGCTGAAACAGGTATTTCCTGTGTAACATTTAGTCGATGTAAATAGCATGAATTAAGCATGCTCAGATTTAGCTCCTCCTTTTGTACTAACATGAGAAGCCTATCTTGTTAAAATCATAACAATGTTTTGACAACAATCGAGTGTTACGATTCATTTTAAAACAAATATTAATAGAATATTTTCTTGTTTTACAGTTCATACCAAATGACTTGTTATTTTACAGTTCACACCAAACGACTTGTTATCTTACAGTTCACACCAAACGACTTGTGTTGTTATTTTAGTAACGCTTATGATAATTCTAGCTTGTGACTTTAGTGGAAGAAGCGGCAGACACTTTAGCAACAAATTTCTTGGAAGCTGCCAACAAGCAAAAACCTGTTGAGTGTAAGACGTAAGTACCCTTATACAAACGTTGAAGGTAGCTGAAGTGAGATTCGGTCTTTTCTTTGTTTTAAAAGTTCTTTCATTTATAACATTCTTAGTGATTTGGGAAAAGAAATGTGTTCTTTACTCACCATTCTGGGTTAGTTGAGGTAGAGAACATTGAGGATGTAACTTGGTTGAGAAAGAGAATATTGATGACATAAAAATACACCTAGTTAATACTTGTACTGGACCCTATTTACCACAGTTTGACACTTCTATATAGTCATTATGTTATTATGAAAAGGTTCTAAATTTGGCGGACGCAGTTTCGATATCTAACAAATTAATAACTTTAATTTTCAATTAAACCTCACTAAGAGCATCATGAAAGAAGAAAATTAAATCATACAGATGCTTCTCACATATTGTATTCATTTCGTTTCCAGGTTTCACTCAAACATTTTGAATTCAAAGACGAAATGATTTATAGATCCTTTTGGTTAACAGAATAGTGATCAATATTAGTTGCACGTTGTCTTCATTAAAACACGAATAACAGAAAATATAATAAAAATCCACTAAAGTAGTCTAAACCTGTTAAAACCTAACAAATATCTTCACGAGTGAAAGTGTTGGTAATAGTAAATATGGAAACGTTTCAACCAATGAAAGCTGTGGGAGAAACGTTTCAACCGAAGGACCCGAGGTAAACTAACAATGTGCTGGTACCATTAAATGTGGAACCGAAGGACCAAGGTTAACTAACAACGTGCTGGTACCATTAAATGTGGATCTGAAGAACTAAGGTTAACTAACAACGTGCTAGTGCCATTAAATGTGGACCTGAAGAACTAAGGTTAACTAACAATGTGCTAGTGCTATTAAATGTGGAACCGAAGAACTAAGGTTAACTAACAATGTGCTAGTGTAGTTAACTAACAATCTTACTTTATTGTTAGTATGTTCTTCTAACACGTTAGAATGTATGTTAGTATGTTATTCTAACATAATCTGAACCAGTAACGTGAACCAATCAGCACAGAACTCTGTGATCTGAACCAGTAACGTGAACCAATCAGACAGAA